GTTGATATCGTTGGTTTTGGGGGCTGTGATATCTCTACAGATCAGGGTTTTGACCAAAGAAGCCGCCACCATTTTCCCTAATCCTCAACTTCATGAAAATTCTTTACTTTTATTTTGACGCGACCGAATCTCGGCCCAGGAGATACTAATTGATCTGTCTGACTCATATATTTATAGCTATTATTTATATATTCTAATGAGAATTCTATCTGGCCGCACCACCTGAACCCCAAAAGTTTTGTGGCCCGTGCATAGAGTATGTTCGTGCACCCGATGGAGCATATGACACGTGCCGCTCCATCACCCTACTCATTCCTCAAAAGACTGGCGATCCTTGCTGACCTTTAATCTTTCAACAAGAATGAATTGAAAACTGAGAGAGAAAAGACATGTAGAAGTGATCAAGGTGACGAGGGCAGTCGGGGTTTTGGCGCTCTGGCTTGAGAAGTGCATCTCGAGATGGTAGGAATTGGCAGGTTGTTTGTGTATTAACGTGCTGAGCAACAGGCTCCCTCAGCACCCCCATGGGGGCTTGAGTACATGTGGGAAGACCGATTGTGAAGCGCTGATGCACGAACGTTTCCAATGCCTCGGCCACCACGAGCCCAGGCCCTTGATACTTTCCGGACTCGGCGTCTTTTGATAATAGAGTGAAATTAGCAGCGGTATGTATATTTGGGTAGGATGAGATTCTGGAAGCTTGTGTTAGACCAACTCATCCGGACCAATCCCAATTAATTGAGCACTTCATGGCTGTGGAAGTTGTCAGCAGTCTAAACTTCGGCGTTCACGCTCGAAACAACACTCCCCTTGGGAATCCAATAATTTTAGAGTAAACCACAACGCCGTTAGGTAATTTACCATGGTATCAGGAAGATGGGCGATTAACTAATGACTAACCTCATCAGCTACCGGTATAGAAAACTTCGCCCGGGCAGATTATATGACGAGCAATATTGTCAGGGTGATAGGAGGGCAGTGTAGCACCAAGGTGGGAAAAATAATTCCACAGTATACTGAAAATCATGATGAAGCTTACACTATTAGAAGCCTTCTAGGGATCACGATATTAGGAAGGTATTTCGTTGGACCATCAAAAGTATAACGTGCAAACAACTTCCACGTAAGTCTTTAGTGACAAGGTGGACGCCAAGATGTGCAGGATAATACTCAGACCAAGCCGCGAACTTGAATCACATTAATGCCACTCTAAACATCTTCTGTTTTCGAATCAGACCGTTGCCACCAAGCTTGTCTATTAGGAGGTTTGCCCCTGAACCAATTCATCGGCGACACCGAAAATTCTGCTGAAAACCCGAACTAAGTGTGGAGAACTGACCATGAGATTCAAACATTATCGATAGGTAAGCTAAGTGGATCGCGACAGCTTGCCATACCAAAGCCCCCGAAGCAGATACAGTTACAGTTTGACTGCTCGGGGTGAGATTTTGTTCAATAACCACGCAACGACAGCATCTTATGAAGATTTGCTGCTTTGGATCATATTCTTTAAGCTTATAAGGTAGTAGCAGCAACTCTACCAAAGCCAGGCCACGAACTCAACTTGGCAAGAGGATAGCGCCCCAATGCGCTCCTCTCATGCGTCAGCTAGTGTCGTGAGTAAGTTGCCAAACTTTCGGTACACGCTATTCTTCAAAGGAGGTACTGCCAAGCTGTATGTTCGGGGGCCCTGCGTGATAAATTTACAAAAAGAAAGATTTCCGTGTACTATCTATGATGTGATGCAACCCACAAAAAAGAGCCAAAAATACGTCACTAATTTTTCTCCATAGTCATAGACTCAGATAGGACTATGATAAAGCCTAATCTAACCTAAAATCCACGGCACTGATAACTCTTCATGTTTGGGAGGCCTATGATGTAATAATGTACGGAAAGCCATTGCAGAGCTATAATAACATGCAGTGATTAGAAGTAGTTACCAAGTGAACCAAATCCTCTAGTAAAGAAAAATCTGGCAATATTTGACACGATAGAGAGGCGGAGCCTATATCTGTGAAGTTTTGCTTCTCACAAGGATCATCGCTGTCATAATCTTCTTTATTTTATTCGTGGAAGAGATTATGAGAGGTTGTAAGTATATGCTCGTTTAAGCAAGCAACTTAGCGATACTTTGGATAGATTCCAATCTGAACGAAGCTAAACTAGCCAACTGTAAGTATCGTAGGGCTAGATTATGCAAGATTCCGGAAATAATGGTAGATATGTATGCCGTGCAAATTTTGGAGTAAATCTTAATCGTGCTCCATTACTTTCGTAGCCTCATGGCTGAATTTCCAAAATAGCGCAGCTCGTGGAAAATCTCTACAGACTCATCATTTCAATCTCGATTGCATGGTATCCTCGCCATCTATGATGCGTGTTTCCAAGGTTTATAGGCTGAGACTAATTAGATACACCGGAAGTGTGATTTGCAGAGACTTCCGAGAGAAAATGTGCATGTATGGAATAGTCGTGGGGCCGATGTAATTGTCATAGTCTCGTAGCATATTCTAGTCTATCATAAAGTCATGATAGTTTGTGACCAGCTGTTCCACAAACACCCGGTCAATCCGAGTGAGACGAGCTCAGCAGTACCAGCTGTGCGACTTGTCTGAATTGCCACAATTTCGACAATTTTTGCCGGCTTAGATATCTCTTAAGCTGAAATGAGAGCCCCGTATTTCAGCATGCTGAAGTGTGGGGGCCACTGCGTGTGACGCGCAGGCTGAGTCAGTCGCGATTGCTCAATGGGGCTGAGGATGGTCGGCATTTCAGAATCAGCAAAAATTGGCCTCTAGGAGGGTTGCTTGCCAGTCCTAGTAATGCAAACCTGTATTAGGATAGAATTGGCCATTTGGGGAATATGGACAGGGATCATTTGGGCATGAACCGATTCCCTTGGCTCGGCGTATGGATAGACTGGTACACGAGAGATCTGGAGAGCTGCGAGGCTTAAAGACGCTGTTTCGAAAGCAGATGGACTCGAAGAGGCAACAAAAATATGGTCGCTCATGTCTCGATACATCGAGCCATGTCGGTCGACGCGCAGTTACAATACCGAGTGAATCCTTCGCGAGGGCCGTATAGCGTCAACTGAAGCTATCTCTGTCGATAGCGAGTCGTAGGCACATTACTTTGTTGAATTTACTGTCTGGAGAATATGTCTTGGGTGGGTGATGGTAGTACGTGCTACGGGTCAGACGAGTAGGCCTTGTTGTGCCGGCATGACGCGGTGTTTTCGTTGGATTGAGCGAGGATGTCGCTACAGAGTGTGAAGCTGCGCCTAAGTGTCCTCAGGGCGAGGCTGATGGTGCCCTCGATAGATGAGAGCGAACATGCTTTCCTTGCCAATCATCAGTGGAATTGATCGAGTCGACAAAGTCCTTTGATCCCCGAGTCAAAATAGTGCGAGTGATGCTCGGCTGCTTTTCACTGAAGTTCAGTAAATTGCGAGGCGAATCGTTTCTCGTATTCTTCAGCCCCACACAGACCCCATAGAGGACTATTCTCATCACCTTCTGGTGGTGTCTCCCATGGACTTCCAACTCTCACTGTAGAGTCGGCAGAGCCGAGATTGAGTAACAACATCCGCCTTGTGCCGATGAGGGTTCCCAATAGCTTTCGCCGTCTGTATCGTCTTTATCCCTCTGTTCAACCCACCAACACCATTATCAAGAAGCTAACCACGACCAGATTAGATGATAGGACCGAAACCTCACTCATTAGCCCATCGGTTTCCTTGGTCATGGAGAAGAAGCCATCCGACTAGCTTCCGGAGCGTACTCAGCACGCGACGCGGCGATGGTGTACTAGGTCAAGTTGGCCTCTAATGTCACGAAATAAGGTCGTGATCTGAAGGGACGAAGTCTAGTCCGGTTTCCTAGAGTAATCATAATATGAGGCCAAATGCAATGTGCATCGAGGGTGTCTGCCAGAGAAAAATGCTTGATAGGCGTGTGACTAAGCCGGCCCCGAGATCGACATTACACATGAGCCGCATACAGTGGATGGGAAGTGTTGGTGAAGTAGATGCCACAACACATTAAGTCTACAAGCATAACGAGGTACATCCCATTCCAATGGCCACACCTCTTAACTATTCTTTGGCCTCGGCTGCCCATCAAACACGCACCTACAACCATACGAATGCCGAGTGAAGGATAAAAATCGTGGTGCACAAATATGGGAGGCAGTTCTTCTAGGGTGAAAGGGACAGAGGTCAGGACAAGGGCACAAGATGATACAAAGAATGGATACAAACTCTACGGATGTGGGATTTCGGATTTTGGCACGGAGACTTTCAAATTTGAGAGAATTGTACGCACCAAGCCTTCGATTGCGAGAGTGCTGCTGAAATTGTAAATACGCTCATAGCTAAATTGTGCGGTGATACATCATCCATGCTGACTTCCCAAGTAGAGTCTGGATAGCTTGGACACACATTCCGCTTGCGACATGAAATGGCTGCTTTGAATACAGCTAGTCCATGTCACATCTCCCACGGTTCTCGTGTGCTTGTATTTCTCTTTGATGGGTATTCATGGCGCAGAGTCATCTATTCTGCCTGAGAAAATATACCTCACACTGGTGTGTGTGTTTTTATTGTGCTACTTGAGCCTATGACTATCTAGCACATTGGGCTCCTCTCTGGCCCAGGCCACACCTTGTGCAGTGCTCCTATCCTCTTTTGTAAGCTCAAATATCTGTCATATACTGCCCGTGATGGATAGCCTTTCGGCTTAGTATTTACCCGTAGAATTCGGCAACCTTTTCCACGGAGCCTTCTACCCAAGAAATAAAAGGTAGCAATGGAAAATATTGACCGGCATCAGTATCAATGAAATTAGAGTTTAGAATCTCTCGATTCAAGAGTTGTTTAATTTACAAAGCACTGGTCCTGAATCATGGTCAGGTACCTAAACCAACAAGGAATTTAATTGTGAGCTTTCCTGCATATCCGAGATTCTGCGAGTATGTCAAGCTAGGATCAAAGTCTATCAGTGACTTGGCTCTTGTACAGCGGTATCCAAACTCTGAATAAGCTCATCAATGGCTACCCGATGCTGTACGATTTCTAGGGCGTTAATCATATCATTCTCCTCGATTCTTCTCCAAGCTTCTTTCTCCGAGCTCGCGATTCCCGCCGCAAGATGCCTCGCTACGAGCCTCTTTCGCGCAATGTCAAAGCCAACCTCCAAAAACCAGCGCTCATTGAAGAGCCTTGAGATCTGGCTCCAGGGCTCTTTGTCGAGTGTGAGGTAGTTGCCTTCGAAGATGAGTATCTGAGTTGAGGGTGATATTGAAATCTCATTTTCAACTGGGTCTTTGAGGGCATGCGAAAATGAGGGCGCGTAGATGGTGCGTGTCGACGCGCCGAGAGGCTCTCTGAGGGCCACAACGAGCGACAAAAGCGATGCTGCATCAAAGGTATAAGCTGCGCCACGACGAGCATGAGCCTGGGCAGGGTCCGGTAGGGCGTCAAGTTGCGCACGCGTGAGATGATAGCCGTCCATTGGAACGTAGGCAGCAAGAGGCCGAAGAGGTGAGGCCTGGGAAAGGGTATTAAGGCGATCAGTGACCGTCTTCGCCAGCGTTGTTTTACCTGAATACCATTGAGGCTTTGGAACTAATCAAGCATGGAAGGCAAAAAGTAATACCTACCAGCTCCAGGTATACCCGAAATGGCAATCATAAGACGTTGGTCAGGTGGAGAGATTTTGTGGGTTGCTACACTTGTAGGTCAGATACACGCTCTCTCTTAGTAGGCGCAATTCAAAGATGATTTTACCCCAGACCTTGTTCACTAAGCGTTGGACTTGTTCTTCCATTTCTCAGAAATAAATATGTTTAACCCTTTATTGATGAATAGTAAATTCGCTGTATGCGGGGTCGGTCGGCGACCGAAGGGTGCTCGGTAATTTCAGTGCCCTCGTGAGCTATTTTTTTATTTTTTTATTCATAGTGTATTCAGCTATCTAGCTATGACACGTTATTTACATAATTAAATCCCCCAAAACTCCTATCTGAAATACAATCTTCATAATACTTTTTAATTTCCCAATTTAGTTATCCTAGTTCAACTCCCTTTATGTGCTGCCATGCACTTGGATGTGTCCAAATATTTAAGAAGTGCTTCTTTTCCTCTTCTTGTTCGAAATAATATAGGTAGGGTTCTTGGTTCTATGTCCTTAAAACATCTGTTTCTTTGGTTTTTAAATTTTGGACAATGTAACAATAAATGTTGCACAGTCTACCTTTGTTGTAAACAAAAATTGCATATGTCATCTTCAACTTTTCCTATCATGTGCAAATATACTCGAGTATTTCCAATTCTAAGCCTAGCTTGGAGCCCTCGTGAGCTAGCAGAGATGGCTAGATGTTAATAGCTGACAGCGGACAAGATGAAGGGAAGTTATAATCATGTCTCGTCACCTATTCATTTGTACTACACTGTGTGAAACGTTGACAAATATTCTAGAGAGGATAACTCTTGAAAACGCTGCAATGCGCACAGATTTTAAGTGTTTTGAGATTCATGTGTAAACACTGGTGAACGTCCCTCACTATAACCAACCGAGGGACTGACGAATTACATGTAGAATATTATTTAAAGCCTAAATAAAGTAATGACAAGACGATGGATACATAATCTCAGGTTTCCCCATTGAATAGAGTCTTATACCTCATGAGCACAGTCCCTGTATTATTTCCCTGGTAAATTAATATTCAATGCCATGTCCACCGGAGTTTGCCTTGGAACTATCGTAAGGATTTAACAAACGTATATCCTCAGATTTTGGCTTACGGGTATCCGCATGTAGCTACTCACGCGTTCATCGCGTTAACCACCGAATAATCTTTTCCCAATGCATAAAATTCTCACCATTTATGTCAAGTTTTTCCCCAACTTCTACCTCGTGTTCGGATTGGTTGAGGAGGCATTAGCGAAAGGTGGTATAGGAGAATCTCTAGGAAATTTGACCTCTCTACCGTTGCATTCTTTAGGTCACAAGCGCACAAGTAACATAAACATTTCTGTTTGAAGGTTCCCAAACGCTTCCTAAAGATCACTTGGCATCAATGTCTTGAAAACTATGAGTTTGGATACTTTGAAAATAAGAAGCGTGCACTTTCGGTCCAGTTATCAATAGAATTTAATTTTCAAATTTCTAATCACGACTTGGATAAACATGACATGTAGAATTCTGCACCAATGGTATTAAATCAATGCTTCCCTTTATATTTTTGCTGGGGAAGGGATCCAAAGATTAAGACGGGCTTATTCAGTTGGTGTTCCTGTTTAACAATTAACTCCCCAGATTCCTCTATACATAAACATTCATATCCTCTTTAAATGGTATTAAACTCAGCCCAATTCAGTACCTCGCCAGGTACACCCAAACGCCTGAGCAGGCGCCAAATATGCAGGAAAGAGTTCTTTTGTGCGGAAGCCAATTCACAGTGTTTCAATAATCCATTAACTTTGCATCCGCTGTCTCTCTTCACTAAAAACACGCCGACTCATTTTCAGAACATTATCGAAGCCCTCTTTACCCTTGCGCGCATTTTCGGAAAACCTGTCAACTGTCGCTTCCTCGACGGCATTCTTTATTTTCTGCCATCCTCCACACAGGGCGGTTATCTTGGCGTCTTGCTTAAAGTGTGTTTGAGTCGATGATATTGGCTTGTATACAACTGTTTCTCGTACATTTATGATGTTTGAAAACGTGAGGTTTGAGGAAATCATGGTTACTTTCTTTGATTTTGGGTCAACATATGATGTCTCGAATACATGTGATGTCTCGTTTCCGCCCATAAGAGAGCTTAACCATTTGGGGGCGCTCTGCTTGCATGTTATAAGGCGTTCTGTTCGCAGCTGTAGCAGGTTAACGTTACTTCCAGACTAAAGAACGATCTACCTACAATCCCCGTTTCTGGATCAACATTTCGCGAAATTGTATCTACTGCGATAACGTGCGTTGACTTGTCGTTCCAAGGACAATACTTCATCCAGTTTGCAGTTGAGACTTCTTCCCAGGAATAGTCAAAGTTTTCTTCATTGGAAAAAACTTTCATTTTCGGGCGGTTATACTTGTAGCGGGCAGAAGCCCACTGAGATACAAAATATGACCTGACCAGTTAGAGATATGAAGGCTGCGATAGTGAAGTGAGTAGTGATAGCCAACTTGATGAAATCATACAAAAACGTATGGAATATTGTCGATTATGTAATAAAAATCCCGAAGCTCCTTGTCGCTTCGCGAATATCACTGACCTGGGCCTGAATAAGTGGAAAAACCACTAATCCTAGTTAGGCTGGCACTTTTTGATTCAATCCATTAACCCGCGAAACTCAGACCTTTTTAGACATCAGAATCTTTGATTGCCATAAGGTAAAAACAACGCATTGACCATACTTGTTAGAGATTGTTAACAAACTTTGATGTTTCCCAGCACTTGATGAAAAAAGCTATATTTTTCGTTTACAATGAGTTTGGTCAATGCAAATATTTTGAATGAAGTTTACAGCGTAGATTCAGCGCGATCGCGGAAGACTAGATACAAAAAATGAATGGCAGCAAAAACTTGCCAAATATTACTAGTTTATTTTTGAGCTTAGTTCCGTCACAACCTTAAAATTGGACTCGCAAGTTCCTTTTGCTCGCTAGCTATGAGTTTATTCCGTTGTTTGCTACGGTGGTAAAGATTATTCAAAGTCTGCCATATCAACCTCTGTCGTGACATAAAAACCGTTTGCATTGCTCTTATCAGCTACGTGAAAGGTCTTAGCTCCACTAACCTCGCCCCAATTAAATGTAGCATAAAGATTTTGCTCAGATCTTCACACCTGCTGCTGACACAAGTTACCAAGACCATAACTTAGTTGTCTGTACAACAAGGGAGCTGTGACATTTTAGGCTGAACAGCGCGGCCAGGCTTGCTCATCGAATTATAATTGATGGCGTAGAAATACTCGTAGTTGTATATCGGTGCTGCGCTCCAGATTTTGGATGCGTTCAATCATAGGGCATATCTGAATGTTGCCCTCTCCGCATATTGGAAGTTGCCAAGAAGCTCTAAAAAGTTTTTCTGGCCGACTAAAAACTTGCTCATAGGCACAGGTGAAAATGTCTTGGGGTATTGGGAATATAGATTGTGAGGACAACGAGTCTATCGTGGCTGTATCTGTACTGGCTTCTCCGCGAACCTGGATTTTGGTTTGCTAGGTAAAGAGGATCGGATTCAGTCCGGGCAAGCGCAGGGCTGAGCGTGGTTTACCTTGCCACGCTAGCGGAAATCGGGGCAGCGTGCAGAAACGAATGGGGGATGTGCTCGTCATATTTCCTCACAATCGTATCAAGAATATTCGAGCAGGGATGCCCCTAAAATTATTATGACTCTCAGCATACAATGGCAGCCAGGAGGACGACGACTGACCAAGCCTCTGCGCTGTGTCCACGAGCCCGAGAGTGACTTGCTTCCCAGAGCCAAGTTTCAAACAAATTTCCAAAAGAGGCCATGTTGGCACGCCTGGTAACGATTCAACTCTTTCAACCTGGTCAAATCTTAAATCCTTGCTCTGCGGGCCAACACTTCTTATCTTGCCAAATTTGATTTCATGAGTTATTTATCCCAATGCCGAGTTTGCAAATGCGAGAGGCTAAGTTTATCCCCATTCAAGCCTGTTTAGACTCGATGGCTGTCTGGTTGATTTGCGAGAAAAAAACCTTTGAAATTATCCTGGAACTTGGCTCCATCGGAAAATTTCACTCTTGGACTGGGAGACACTGCCGACGAAAAATCAGAAAAAGTGAAGGTAGCAAAAGAGGATAGGAGCACAACGTGCTAGATAGCCTATGTCTCAAAAGGCGCAATACACTGATCTCACCCTGTTGACAGAATTTCAGTTTCTCTCCTTCAAGAAAGGGCAAGGGGTTTTACCTCGCGAAGCAAAATTTCAAACAAACGGTCGCCTTGTCTTATAACTTCATCTCAGCATTTGGAAGCACCATAGTGCTACATACAGGCTCAAATTATAATCTAGTCATTCTACGTTTTCTGGAATTGAATTCCCATTGCTGATTACAATATGTGATTGGCTCCACACCCTAAAAATTCAAGAGGCTCAAAGGTTGATGTTGAGTGAACCTAAGGCTGCCCTGGCTCCCTTATCATCTTCAATTTTAGCAGCCCAAACCTTCAACCGTAGACGGCTCATTAGCAGCGAAGCAGAGCATCGTGTGGAGGGCAAGACTGAACACCTGTACGCGGTGTCCTCTACGAACCTGGGAGTGAAATAATCTCCCAGAGCCAAGTTCAGTCAAATTTCGCAGTATCAAAGAAGTTGGCCCACGAGGCAAAATTTCAAATTACTCCACCACCTCGCTTTTTCGCTCCCAACGAGTTTGACACGTACCTAAGTCTTATCAAGTCTACAAGTACGACCTAGTACATCCTCGTTTCAATGACCACACCTCTCGTCGACTTTCTCTGGCCTCAGCCGGTCACCAAATACACGCCCACGCCGATATTTATACCCGACGGAGGAAGCAAAGCGTGGAGCACAAATCTGGGAGATAGCTCTTTGGGACGGACGTGAGAGGGATCAGGACAAGTTTACAAGATGATGCAGAAGAGGGATTCGTTTTCGACGGGCGCCAAATTTCGAATTTTGGCAAGAGTTTTACGAATTGAGCTTTGTGCGCGCCAAGACTTCGCTTGCGAGAGTGCAGCTGACACTATAAAAACAAGCAAACGATGGAAGGTGTTGTGGTCCGCCTCCTGGTGATGTTCTCTGGTATGGTTTGAGTAGCCTGGGCACCTACTCCACTTGGGAAGGAGACATCTCAGATTACATTTCGCGCGGAGAAAAGTTGATGGATGACGGAGGCATGTCTGGATAACTCAGGGTTTTTGAGACGTTCCCCTGAGTGGGTATTCACGGATGAGGGTTGACTTGGGGTGAAGAAAAAGCCACCATAACTTCGCAGTGGTACTTGCAAATGAAATCTGAGGCATGAGTGCTCCTCTTGTAAATTGAGTCATCTTTTCTGTACTTTTCTTTGATATTGTGTCATAGCTAGATAGCTGCATACGCAATTAAAATCTGATGCAAAAAAAAAAAAAAAAGAGCATCGTGTCATGGGCTCCTACCGTTAAATGCCTACCAATATGCTTTTATTCACAAACATTAGTATCCTACCTAGCAAATTAGGCTATGCCTTAATTTAATTTGGTGAAGTTTAACGTCATGCAAATACGTAGATAATGGCTCAATTCAAGGGCCGGTCATCCTAGTACTCACCCAATTACACGACGCTCTGACGTGCGCCAGCAGAAGACTAATGAATATCTGTCTGCAGTCATGTCTACTCACCTGGCAGTAGATTGTTCTCCCGTAGCCAAGTTCAATCATATTTCGCAACACCAAAGAAGTAGGCCCATGAGGCAATGATTGACTACTCAAAACTAAATCAATATCTCCCTCCCAATAAGATCGATCCCCACCAACGCCTCATCACGTTTACAAGTAAGACTTAATATATCCTCCTTTCAATGACCACACCTCTCTTCCATCTTCTCCGGTCTCAATTGACCACCACATACACGCCCGCGCCGATACTGATACCCGACGGAGGAAACAAAGCGTGGCGCACTAATCTGGGAGACTGTTCCTTGGGATGGGCATGAGAGGAATCAGGACAAATTTGTATGATGATCTTGAGATTCCTGTAATCTCGATGGGCCTGAAATTTGCCGAGGAACTTTACGAACTTAGCTTAGTGCGCGCGCCAAGACTTCGCTTTCCAGAATGCAGGCGACACTACAAGCACCGCTGTGGCTGGATGGTGCAGTGGTACGTCATCTTTGCCGCTTTCTCATGCAAGGTCTGGATAGCTAGGACACATATCTTACTCGAGACAGGAGACCGCTAGTTCGAATCCGGCAAAAATAAACTGCTTTTCTCGCGGCGCTGGTATGCATGGATGACGAAGGCATACTTGGATAATCAAAGGTTTTGAAATTCCCTTTGGTGGGTACTTACGGAGGAGGGTCGACTGTTTGTTTAAGCAAGCATACCTCATAGTGGTATTTGCGAATGAAATCCAGATTATGAGTATCTCTAACGTCAAAAGAGTCATCCAATATGTATAAATTGCACCGTTCGAGTGTCATGTGTCAAAGCTAAATAGCTAAATACACATTAAATGATTAAAAAAAAGTTCATTAAAACCAAAAGAACTTCACTGATCCTGAAAACCCCAATATCTTACGATTCACGCAGTATGAACTTGACAGTCAACGTTCACTTCATCATTCCAGATACCTCTAGACCTCTCTTAATCGGTACGATTAGAATCTGGATTCTCTAGAGCTGCACGAATTTCTTGGCAATACTTATCCTTCTCACAATGTCTACTCCAATCGTCTGGCAATAATTCAACGGTATACGACTACTCCACCAGACAAAGATCAATTAATTTTGATGTTTCGACACGACGAAGAAACTTCAGTGGTTAAAGTAAGATTTTCTGTTAATGCCTAGCTCGTCGTTCACATCTGTTGGTTTATCCTCACTAATTATGGTTAGGGAGGGTTGGATGGTGCAGTGATACACCATCCGGGCCGTTCTCCCAAGTAGATACTGGGTAGCTTGAACACCTACCCCAATCGAGACAGGAGAAAGCTGGTTCGAATCCAGTCAGACCCACACACCACACTCTCTCGCGGTGATGTTGTACTTGTGGGATGATGAAAGCACACTCGGATAGCTACAGGGTTTTCACGCTTTTCTCTGTGGTGGGTATGCACGGAAGAGGTTATACGCCGTAAAGGTTAACCTCGAGTGGTTTCTGCAATTGAAGTATGAGTGTGAGTGTTCTAAAGGTCAACTTGAGTCATCCTACTTATATTGGATAAGATTTTTTTATTTTAGTCCCAAGTCATCCTACTTTAAGAACATATCTTCCGATAAAAACCTGCATGGGCCTCTAGGCGCCAAACCAGGAAAATGAATTATTATATCCCTACTATGCCCTCAAACTTCACTTAGGTCTCCACCTAAGATAAGCCACGGTCAAACCGTTATACATACATTGATCTTTGCGAGTGAAATTTAAGATATGAAATTTCTTAAATCAAACGAGCTACAAATCAGATCGCAGGTTACATGTCTTGTGCCATTTATAGAAAATGGAATGAGAATGATAGAATAATGAAAGAAATAGACTGATAGATAAGGATGAGCTCTATAGTGCTTCTATTAGAGCCTAGATCTTTTTAGGTAATTAAATTTAATCTTCATCATACCATCGTTGTAAGAACAATGGAAAGACCTTCCTGTCTTATCAGGTTATTTTTAAAAGGATCAAATCACACTTTAATTCTCGAACGCTTTCTAGAAACACTACCTTTTTGAAGGAATCGAGCTGTAATGTGGGGAGTGCACAGGGAGTGGGTAGCTAATTTTTAATACCTAAGTTCTTGATCGTAGATAGAAGATAAAATAAATAGCCAAAGAGCCAATTTCCTTAGCGCAAGTGATTGGTTGACACCTATATCTTGAGTTGGCTGGTGCGTACCGTGTAATATTTCCAAACGCCTTTGGGCCAGTTATTCAGGCTTATTTCGTCATTCGAATTTAGAGCATAAAGTGCTGAAAGTATATCGAGAACCTGCTGGAGTCGATCACGAGTATTTTTGGAATTAGGAAATATATTATTGGAGAAGTTAGAGATTATGGAGTGGACTAGCACCCTACTGTAGAGGCCCATAGAGATCGATCCAACGCCTCATCTGTCTTTGGTATAGTTTTTGATTAGCTGGAATTTAAACTACATTCGCATAAAGTTTATCTGCCTTTCAACCCTGGTCCGTAATAATAATTATTTATTTGGTTAGAGCAGATTCATAAATATGCCATGGCGTTAACGGAAAAAGAGGCGTCTAAAGGTTTGTCTAGCAAGGAAACAAACAAGATGAGTCTACTTGTGTAATAAGTGTGATTCGTTTTATCCAAACAAAATTGTGCTCTCAGTTGGGGAAATCCCAGAACCTCCATGATCCTATTTCAGACTTGGCTAGGCTTCTTGAAGCTTTTCAATGACATCTGTAGTGTCCATGATTAGTATTTAAATACATCCAGGTCCTAGCGGAACTTCAGGTTCGAAGCTGATTGTGGGACCGTTTTTGCGATCGAATCTTTTGCTTGTTTCAGTTCTGATAGACTCAATCCTACGTCCTTGGTGTAATTTTTAAACGCTTCCAATATATCACTTAAACTACTGCCAAGCGCGAACATTATCTGATCAACCTCTGGACTGACTTGGTTAGACATAATATCAGTCCAGTGTCTTCCCATACTTGATTTGAACCTATCTAAAGTTGCAATAGCGGACACAAAAGTTTGAACAATCAGCTTGACATCTCTTTGAACGTTTCCATATTGATCTTCGGTGAGGCTGCATACCGTAAGATTGGCTATCGACTCGATTGCGTCAATTATGACCCCAACGTCACCATATGGAGTGCCGAGAACTACTGTGGCTATTCTTTGCCTATATTCCTGCCGGAAGGGCCTTCCTAAGTTTGTTTGTAACACTCTTGTTGCCCAGCTCTTAATCAAATCATCAAATCCTGATTTGGACATCAGCTGCCTCTGCTTTTCGACAAAAAAGCCATCCCCAGAGCCCTGAGCTAATCTATTATCTCCAGTTCGAGTGTCTGTCTGTAAGAGCTGTCTTCGATTCTTAGCAAATTTGCTAATATCTCTTGCTACCTCTTTGGCGGTGGTGGATGAAGTTTGATTATTTTGAAAAATATCACCCGACACTAGTAGACTATCTCGGAGGGGCTCAGAGAGGCGCGGCAAAGAAGGTATATCTTCGTTTCTAGTAATAGGAGAGATAATTGGTTGTTCATAATCGTTTATGCGAGCCGTCATCTCAGTGATCACGTTTAGGCATGCATCTCGAATCTGTGACCAGCTAGAGCCTCCAGATCTATCTATATCTTCGAAAATAGATTTACGTTGACTCTTAAATTTCCTGGATATATTTACAAGTTCCCAAAATGCAAAAACCTGAGGTAGGTGAGCAAATTTTCCTACTTGAGGCGACAAATCTTCTTACCCTTGTTTGGAATTTATTCGCTCTCAAACCAGTCAATAGGCTTCCAATAGGATCTCGGGATTCGTGAGTTATTGGTAATCCATTCTTGAGCGGTTCCTGCGAAGAGTAAACCGAGAATGCCAAGTTCCCGGTCTCCCATAGCATAACTAACAAAAATCCAGAAGTTGTTGTTTTCCATAACAGGCTCCAGTGAAAGGGCCACGTAGTTGGCAATGAGTTTGAGCGCGGTAATATCCAGAATATCTTAGCCCAAAATCTATTGAAACTCCAGGCAAATCGTCTGATGGAGTATGGATAGAATTGTAAGTTAAATAAATAAATAATGGGCGTAAAAGTATTAATGAGCAGAGACCGTTTGATAGAGTCTCGAATGAGGGCTGGTAGTTGAGATTTCAACTGCTGAATTGGGGTGAGAGATTTTGATTCATGTACACTTGAGTCTTTTATTGTGTGAGCTGGTATATTAATTCGATCATAATCGTATAAAAGGTGAATAATTGCTTGTGATATTGCAAGAATAAAGAAAAAGCTTGTAAAGTAAATTGGTTTCTCGTTCAAAATAGTCCGGTTTGTTCTCGGAATTAGCTTTACTCGGCTTAAGTCTGCACTTCCAGGTGCTGACCATATACAAACTTCGCTGAACAGATACGCTGAAGTACAGTACCATGCCATTGTTTGTAGAGTTTGAAATTTGAGAGCATGTGTTTTGAAGTTACTCCATCTCGAAAATGATGTTCTTATGCCGACATGGAGCTGAGCTACTCGAAGTAAAAAAATACACAATATTGATAAGAAGAGAAGACATGTCCTGATACCAGCTTTACTCAAGGGAAACCAAGTCCAGAAAACTGTTGGCTGTTAGTACATCCTAACTTTCTTAACTTGGGACTCCATACATGAATTTTTTGCTCCAATTATAATTGATTCGAGGTGGCATACTGCTAGACAAACAGATAATGCAGCTACGAATCTACGATGTAAGGCTGGGGTTAAAAAGTCTTTGTAGGGGCGGACTTTGGTTGCAGCGCGCGCCATGTTCACTAAGTCAGAATTTAAAGAATCTTTGCAGTCGGGAATTTTCAAATGCACAAGTGCAACTTGGTTAATCATTAGATCATGATGCTGAATTGATTTGATGAAAGCTGTACCTTTTTTTTCCTACAAGGCTTATTGTGCATATAAAAAATATTCTGCAGGTCGGGATATTGATGCCAAGCCGCCAGGACTGTTTACGGGAGTGCTAACGCTTAGCTTTCAGGGACCTTGTGATATTGACGTCAGCAGGACAGCATCACTCATTAACATCTCAAAATGTCATTCAACCACCTATCTTTTATGGAGTCGCAGCCAACAAACCTGCGGCGACACGATGATCCGCTATATACTGACGATCCTGAATTCCAGAAGTTGTCGCAAGAACTAATGTCAAAACTGTTTACCCTAACTGGAAATATCGCGAGACTCAGTAATGAAATAGCCTTGCTTGGAACCAAGCGAGATACAGAACGCGTACGCGAGGCAGTGCATAACCTCCTTGAGAAATCTACGGAAGATTTTAAAGAGGTCGGGGAAGGTGTCAAGAAAATACAATCATGGGAAGACTTGAGCGTACGTTTGAGACAGATGATTACTCGAAAGTCTCAGTTACATGTACTAATCGCCGCCTAGCCATCTCAAAAATACACACAACAAAAAGTAGCAAGAGAATTCCAAAACAATCTTTCAGAATTTCAATCAGTTCAGCGTCAAGCACTTGAGAAACAGCGCACTCAGGCCTCTGTTGCTCGCACAGCGTTAGAACAGCAATCTCTTACAGAGAATTCTGAGACACTAGATAGACAAGACCAGCAACAACAAAATGAATTATTACAACAGCCGAGAGAGGAACTACGATTGGCTTCGCAGGACGAAGTTGATTTTCAAGATTCACTCATAGTGGAACGTGAGACGGAGATACGAAATATTGAACAAGGAGTTGCCGAGTTAAATGAACTCTTTCGCGATGTGGCACTTATTGTTAATGAGCAAGGAGATATGCTAGACACTATTCATGACAATGTTGAAAACGCGCGGACTGACACACGGGGAGCTGATCTTGAATTAAGAAGTGCAGCCAGATACCAAAAGCGGGCTCGCTCCAAAGCATGCTGTTTACTTTTGATACTTTCAGTTATTCTCACAGTCATAATACTGGCGGCAACACTAGGATGAGTGCAGAAAAATCTCCTATATGTGTTCTATTGCGCTTCGGAACTATATAAAAGGACCCACACTCTATCTTGGAGATTACGGCAGCATAAGTGTAAAAAATTGTATAAAATCCACACGTCTTTAGCCAGTTTTTGACCCAGGTTAATTTAAACAACGCCCATGTAGCGAGACCAGCAGTATCTTGATATCAGATCACTACCCACGAATCTGCGCCTGGGCTAGATGCTCCAATTGCTCTACTCTTGAGCCTCGACTAAGAGCAAAGCCTCTAGGACATTTGTGCTGAATAGAAAAGTTATAAGACTTTGTTATAAGTGGTTTCGATATGGGGTATCATTTGTTAAGTTCTCGATCAGTAACTCCGATAGCTTGTTGTATCCATTTTCCCTTTCTTCCCAATCACGCTCATGTAAATCGTTTGTTCTCCACTTAACTCCTTAGATATAATACATGCTGACGACAAGGAGGTCTATTGTTGCGCTAATTTATTTATGATTTCGGCCATTGGCTCCAGAACGAAAGGTAATCCCACGCTCGTCCGTCGTAAAGCTTATCAGTCTCTCCCAAATTTTGTAAAAAATTAGGTAACCCTCTCTTCCCACGCTACTAGCCAGGATTTGGGTGGCAGCGAATTAGTAGTAGCTTTTATAGTTTAATTAAATTTTGTATGTATTATTTCTGGATTCTCGTGCCAGTCATCGATACTCACCCACATTTTTCTGAACGTGCTGAGTCCAGCCAAGATGCTACCTCCAATCCAAGTCGAATACTTTCGCTCGGGTGGAGCGAATATTTTTATTTTCATATCCTTCACCGCCAGTCGTTGAACTTCCTGTAAAAGTCTATCTCCAAAGCCTTTGGTGAGTGTACTACCACCTGACAGGACAATATTCCCAAAAAGGGAAGCTCGTAGATCAAGATCTGTTCGAGTAATAGCATCAACGACAATCTGGTGTATACCAGGATATTCCAGCCCGATTATCTCAGGGTCAAAAAGGATTTCAGGTGCTCTGAATCTCTCGGCGCCAATCTAGGCCATCAGTTGAGTTTAAAATATTGAGCATCTTCATCGTACCTTAATTCTGTTGCCGTCAGGCAATGTATACTCGACACTCTTACCGTCTCCAGTCTTGCCAACAGAGGCAGCCCATTCCTTCTCTTCCAACTTAGGACTAGTAGCGACATAGCTAACCTTCTCCTTGATTAACCTGACTACCTCTTTTTCGGCACTAGTGTGGAAAACATAGCCAGATTTACGTAGTAGGAGCTGTAAGTGCTCAGTAACATCTCGTCCCGCTACATCTATCCGTCGAATTGAGCTCGGCATGGCAAAACCCTCGTACACAGGAACTGCGTGTGATACACCATCTCCTGAATCAAGGACAATACCGGTTGTCCTCCCAGAGGCATATAAAGAGAGTACGGCTTGTATTGATGTATAGAGCGCTGGAACATTGAACGTCTCAAATAGGATCTGTGCAGCTACATCCCGATTACTTCGTGGGTTGAGCGGTGGTTCTGTCAGTAAGACAGGATGCTGTTAATCAGTCAGATTAGCACTTCAGAGCTGAGCGGTTCACAATGGCGAAAAAGATTATTAACCTCTTCACTCAGAGTCTTCAAGCCTTCTCCGTACACCCATTCCCATATTCTTTCCATGTCATCCCAGTCTGTCACAATCCCATGTTCTAGGGGGTACCGAATCTTTAATAGTCCTCGTAGTTCCTGTGCTCTATCTCCAATAAATATATCACCCTCGAGTGCGCCCGCAAGGACTCTTAGATGCTTTGGTCGCCCAACAAATGAGGGAAAGAAGCATTTGGGTAGGTCGTCTCCTGCAAACCCAGCACGGATTGTTCCAGATCCGTTATCAAGAACTATTGGGGCATTGTGAAGATTATCGGCCATAGTGAAAGCGAGCGCCAAGGGACTGTCCGGCAACAGCCGTTGGAAAAAAGTGTACGGGCGAACGGAGGTCTCGGAGATTCTATCTGGCCGCGGGAAAATATTGAGGGCTAATTGAGGTGTAGTTGGACAAGATATAGAGCAGTAACACTGTTCTATAAGATCATGAGTTCTGAAGTCGCAGGGCTGTCAACAAGCGACAGGTTCTCTATTCCACTTAGTATTGCCCTAGCAATCTTTCAGCATTCCTTACCACAATTTTACTACATCCAACCCCTCCCAATACAAACAAGGTAATAAATACTACTTTTATCATGGAATAACCACCTCAAGAATCAATATTTGTATTCAGTTCTAGTCGCGCAAAATTATCTCGGTATTTTTCATAAAGGAATGGATTACGGAAATAACACAGGATTATTTAACGCCGGATCATACTTTGTTTGCACGGCATAAAATAATTATTGGTCGCTTGAAGATTGATCCCAAGGATCATTGAAAAGCCATTGATAGGAAGGGATAGTATATATCAACGTAGCTTATTAACATAATTGATTCAATGCATCGTAGGACACGACTGAACACCTGGACGCGTTGTCCTCCACGAACCTGGAGGTGAAACATTCTCCAAGAGGCAAGTTCAGTCAAATTTCGCAATACCGAAAAAGTTGGCCCACGAGTCAATGATTCAAACTACTCCACCATGTCAAATCTTCACTCCCAAAGAACCCAAATCATACTTAAGCCTCATCAATTCTACAATTAAGATCTAGAAAATTCTCATTCCAATGACCACACCTCTTGTCGACTTTCTCTGGCCTCAGCTGGTCACCAAATACATGCTCATACCGATATTCACACCTGACGAAGGAAGCAGAGCGTGGCGAACCAATCTGAGAGACTGTTCTTTGGGACGCGCGTGAAGAGATTCAGGAAAAGCTCACAAGATGATGCGAAGGATGGATACAGTCTCGACGGGCGTGAAATTTCGAATCTTTGACAAGGAGATTTTACGAACTCAGCTTTATGCATGCCAAGGCTTCGGTTGCAGGAGTGCAGGCGATACTAAAAACTCCGCGGTGATTGGATGGTGCAGTGGTACATCATCTTGGCCGAATTCGCAAGCAAGATCTAGATAGCTAGGACACATATCTTACTCGAGACAGGAGACCGCTAGTTCGAATCCGGTAAAGATAAACAATATTTCTCGCGACGTTGGTATGCATGGATGACGAAGGCATGCTCGGATAACCAAAGGTTTCGAAATTCCCGTTGGTGGGTGCTTACGGAGGAGGATCGACTGTTTGTGTAAGCGAACATACCTCATAGTGGTATTTGCGAATGAAATCCAGAGTATGAGTTTCTCTAATGTCAAAAGAGTCATCCAATATGTATACATAGCACCGGTCATGTGTGCTAGCTAGATAGCTGCATACATATTAAATGATTTATAAATAAAAAGATTCGATGCATCTGTCCAAGTCGCTAAACCGTCTTCCCGCATCAATAGCAGGTCCTTATTAATCACAAGTATTGAACTACGGCGATGCAAAGCAGATCCTTCTCCCAGAAAACATTGTCTGCAGCCAGCAAAGACAAATTCTTCAACTTCCAGTATTGCTGGTGTAATCGCCCAGTTCTCTCTCTATATCTAGGATAGCCAAGAAGAATCACATCCGAATCAAAGTCGAGAGCAACCTCAAGCCCATCTAAAATCGACAACTTCTCGTCAATGTCGGACCTATCATTTCATGCGAGCCCTATATCTCAATCTAACTACAACAACTCGCTTGAACCACCGATAATGGCGTTACTCTAATTACAATCAGGCATTTGCCTCATCAAAGACCGGCCATCTCTCACTAAAAAGTTACGATGCTATAAATACCCGCGAGGAGGAAACCAAGCCACAATCTACAAAGCTCGGGTCTTGGTCTATTGGGGATCGTTGCTCTAATAGGGCTTCACATCTCGAGGGAGGACAGGCAGCTAGGACGTGGGACGAACGAGTTTTGAGGTCACCAATTGGCATTCTGGGACGCACATTTTTTGAGTGTTTACGACTTGAGGGTGCCTGTGAGTGACCAAGCTACGATGTCGGATAGTGCAACCTACACTCTAAAAACAGGTAACGATCAAATGTATTGTGGTCCGCCTCTTGGTCGTCATCTCCCCGAATTAAAGTCTTGGTAGCCTGAATACCTACTTTACGCGATAAATGGAGGACTGTGAGGCTATATCTCGTGCGGCGGCCATATACAAGATGGCAAAGGCGTGTTAGGGTAGCCAAAGGTTTTTCCTGTTTTCCCTTTGGTGGATGTTTACGGTTGAGAGAAGGGTGAAAGTCCCTAGCGTAAAGGTCTCGAATGGTACCAGCGAATGCACCCACTACATGAGTAGTCCAAACCTCAAACTTAGTTAACGTCGTATACAGTAGTCGAGAAAGGACTAGCCTTCTAAGTGTCATGCTCTATGAGCGCTACGCTTACACACTTCACGAATATATATTCATTCATTCTAGAATAGATTTTAGCCGGGCAGCCGTACGTGTTACGGGGTTTACCCGGTGTTAGTTGGCTGGGCTCACTTACGGGCCCAGCCTTGCATGTAAGTGTGATGTAGCAAATGGGTCTGTCTATTGCACCAGGTTAGACGCTTAGTAAGTGCTTATATAAGTTGGTCATCAGCACACACCCTACATTGGCTCTGTCCCACAGAAGTGTTCTCTTCATTGCAAAATATAGATTATTTTGTGACAGCGTATGCGTGCAGCGTCCGTGATTCTCGTCCTTTTACAGTACAGCCAGATGATTGTGTAGAAAGATACATCCGAAAGCGACTGAAGATCTGGCGTTGTGGTTATTCAAAAAAACCCTACTATGGTTAGGATGAGACGCATGTACAGGATAGTTCGTTTTCCGTCCTAACCCTGCTGCCTGAAACGTTCGAAAATTGTTGACGGACTATTTCGATCTAACGGTGGTAACTCTTCCATTAATGTAGCAATCTCGCAACTTACACTCTTATCCCGAACATGGAACATTATGTGTAACAAAATTACTAGAATGTCTCGTCGTTATACTTCTCGTCAGTCATTTAGAAAGAATCTTGATGCAGCCTTTCTTGTATTTAGTGCTACTCCCATCGTTAGAATGATTTTAAAGGGCCAACACAGCTAACAATTGCGAGTGGTAAGGCTTTGCCATATGTCGTCAGAATTCACCTTCTGAGTAGGATCTAGGTTGCTTGAATCGCTAATCGACTTGAGATAGACTTTCCTCTTTTTCGAATCTAGCAGACTCTACTTCCTCGACATTCAGCAGACACATCTGAATGAACAGACTCAGATATCATAAAGCTCTTATGTCTATTCCTGTTGGTAGGTGTATTTACTGTGTAGCTACTAGCGGTATGTCGTCAATGATTCTTCTTGTATTCTCTATCCTCTTCAATGCGACGGGAAGATTTAATGGAATTATATCACATGATGTAGCCACGTGACATCATGAACAACTGACAATGATCCGACAATTCCTTTATTTATCTAGCTTGAAGCACGAGGCAATAACCTTCAATCTATTTAGATGTAGGACTCGTGGAGCCGGCCAAGACTTAATCTTTGGGTTTACCCTGCTCTTTTTTTTTGCATCAGATTTTAATTGCGTATGCAGCTATCTAGTTATGACACAATGTCAAAGAAAAGTACATGATAGATGAATCAATGTAAAGGAAGAGCACTTTGCCCACCTCTTTCACACCCATTTTTCAGCTGATAAATCATGAGCTCATCGAAAAACTAATGCAGCGAAGAGAAAATAAATGAACAAAAGAAAGAATGACTGGTGTTAAGTCAGCATTCTTCATCCTGAGTTCTCCGCCAGCGTATTTGCCTTGGCATTTATCCCAAACCCGTCCTTGCATTCACCCATGAACTAGGATGCGTCCGGTCTACCGAAGCAGGCTGTAACCAATGCAAAATCTTTAGACTTCTCTACCCCATTATCTCCGAGGAGTTGCCTAGTCAAGCATCTTAGCTCATGTCTTTTTAAAGTTAACGCGTCAGAGTATTATATCTCCGATAGCGTGTAAAGTGGGCGGGTCTCTTTTCTAGCCTACAGCTACAAACGAGTTTTGCATCTTCGTGCTTGAAGCGATGGTGATACGCCGCAAATTCCTCGTACCCTTTTCTCGCAGCAATGATGTCAGGGAGTACATCTAGACCAATATGGTCCTCTACCAAATACTAGTCTTAGCATATAACATATGTGTTGGTGGACCAATTAATGGGTTGGTTACTACATAGGTTGAGTTCAGAGTTTATCTCATGTATAACTAGTCGCTTTACTAATGATGGGTTTGGGCATACGACGTTCTTGTATAATAATTACCTGTTGGAGACTACCTGCATATTCGAGCTACCTGTATATTATAACTCCTACCCGATGATCTTATCTGAGACGTCTCCCTTATAAATGAGTTCGTGAAGCAGTCTTGTTGGTAGCACTCGGTGGCTTCGGTTTCTAGCATATGCTTGAATACTGGTGTAAATTGGTTGTGTGTTGGTTGTCTCTCTTCTATCTACATGATGAGGGAACCGTTTCAGTATTCAAGTAGGTGCCCGTGCACACCACGCTTAACCTTGATGCCTAAGGTATCTACGTACCAAAAAAATAGAATAGAATAGAATTTTATTTATGTCCTTACTGAGTCTATGACTATGAAGGACAGCTAAAACTATCTAAATAGCTTTAAAGTTAATAGTAAAGTTGAATATTGTTGTGCTCAATTTTTGCCAATGAATGATGAGGGTCGTGCCCTTCTACGTACCAAAGGCTACTATGGATCCAAGCAAATCTCCAAGGTAACTATAGTTCTTGGGGTTTACGTTGTGGTATTTGCAGGTTCAAGTATTGGTATCGAGCTGAACAAGCAATTGTCCACCATTTGTCTATAAATTCTTGTCTTCGCCTTTGCATGAGACGCCGAAGATAAGCAAGACTGAT